CCCTTATTTTTTATTTTATTTTTTTTAGAACATCAGTTCTACAACAACAAACTACTTATGTGAATGCCAGTAAAAGACAGATAGCACAACTACAGGCCTTGCAGCAGACAATGTTCCATCACATGGATGCTCTTGATGACTACCCGAGGAGCAAGAATATTGAGGTCAGGGGCAGACGGATAACTATCTATCACATTTAATTCATCGCTTACTGGTATCTCTTTTGCATCAACAGCAGGCCAAATTGATGTACATTGAGAGCGGTAATTGCATTCTGAAATTGGCTAACGCACCGGCACAAGTTTCTCGTGATGTATTAATCCACCTCCCATCACATAAGGATAAGAAGACGGCAATGGAAGCACTGAAGCTGCAAACACCCCTTCACTTTGAGTCTTCACATTTTTGCAAGACCTATGGAATTCAACTTTGGACTGGTAATCTTTTCAGTCTGGCACGAAGAAGCTCCGGGAGGCTAACAGTTGTTGCTGGGGGTCAACTCACTCTCTCTCAGCCACTGAAGAGAGCAGCTGCATAAACTCAACACCACCACCAAATCCAGCTTTATTCCTGCAGTCACTGAGTCTTACTCCAACGCTCGGTACTACTCTGGAGATCACAAGAACATGGTACGTTTCATAATAGCTCAGTTTATCACCTGCCCCATCACAGATATGGTATGAGATTTGCCATTATTTCTATTTTCTCTTTTGTGTTCTAAGAGGGCCTGTGTTACCACATCTATTTAAGGTTAACCTATATTTCCATGCAGATATTTTAGCTGAAATTAAATTATGTTGCCACCAGAAAGGCCATCTAATATATTCTAGCACCCCCCACTCCCCAAGCTCCGAGTCATGGAGAATTATCCACAGTCTATATATTAGTAGTCATGTCTAGTAGGTTAAGCTTGTTAGATGGTTCATATCCTATGAATGACTTATTAACAATAAATGTAACTGCTTCTCTTTTACTTATGTTCTATTTATCCAACTCAAAAAGGATACTATCTGTCGTACATGATACTCTTATATTTCTGTCATATAGCATATATATATTGTTACTTCTGTACCACACTTTTGTCCATAAAAATAAAGAATGCAAAAAATAAAGTAGTATTGTGTTAAAGTGTTTGTTTAATTCTTTTTACATATATTAATATTTTTATATTTAGTGTCTCCTCAGCAAACATTTTCTATATAAAATGATGGTATGATTACTCCTAGTTGGAAATGTTACAGACTAATAATGCCATAAACATACGCATTATATATAGAAAGCAATGTAGGGTTCTAAAAGAAAAGCCATCTAGAATGTAATTTTGTTATTCTACATAAAGATTGCCCTACATTTAATTTTACTCCACAAACAATCTATTTAAGAAAACCTGCAATAATATACAATATAGTTTCTTTTGGTTTAGCTGCACAATTCCAAACATGATGGATACTGAGGAAGTCACAAAAATGTCCATCAAAATAGAGAGGAAAAAAAAGTAGAAGCAGTGGACAAGTAAACCCATAAAGTTTTACATCTAATAGTAAAAGGAACATTGTCACTGCAGCAAAATTATATATTTTTTATTCTGTGCTCTAAGGAACTGTAAACCTAACTGCTGTTCCACTCAACAAATAAAAAACATCCAAATTAGATTGAAATTGGTATTGCTAATGTAAAGAAGGAACTGCTTAATTAGCAATAAGTGAGCAGGGGATATTCATTATCATTTATAACTTTTTGTGACAAGGGTTTCCATTGTGCTTGAATTTAAACACCATTGGGTTGTTTTCTCAAATTTATTAAAATATAGTTACCGTTCACGTTTCATGCAATGGTCGACAATCAAGATCTAAAACAACATGGTCTATATATGGCGCATAGGACTTCACTTTCTCCAAATGTAAAATTTGTGTGTGCCATGGGCTCCCGCTGGCTTTCATTAGAATAGCACGAACCTGAGATTCAGTTCCCTCTGCCCATTCCTTCCAAGCCATATTCTTCCATTTAATAACGTCCTCTTTCGTACCATTCATATTTAGTCCTGCATGTCTAATAAAGCTGTTCACATTGTGGTGGATGTGCAGTATTCCTCCAGTATCCTTCTTCAAAACTCTACAGGCCACTTCATAAGCAGGCTCCGATGTGGGGATAAGGCCCAAATTTACTCTGTCAGCCACATCTTGTAGTTTCAACTAAAGAGATATAAAATAGTTATAAATAGTTTATTCTTGAACTTTAAAAATCATGTTTTTCACTAAATAAAGATGTTGGTATCAAAGTGAACAATCATGCCATTAATGAAATTTACTAATAATGTATTACCTTCCATATACTGAGATTTGTCTACTAAAGCCCAAACATACAGCCTTCAACTTCCAGAACAAAACTGGTGGCCAACCATGTTGAAACTGTACAGTCCCACTGCAGGTTTCTGGTCAGTGGTGTCTTTGAAGTGGTGTCACAATCCATTGTAGGTTGTTGTTTTTTTTGATACTGTATCTAAAACAGTATCTTTTGTTAAAGGTACCTGCAGAAATGCAGGATGAGGTCTGAAACACAATGCCTGTCTGTGCTCATTTGCATGTCAAGCTGGGAACATGATTTTTCAAGTTTCTGGGCCGAAGGAGAACTTGAGATATGGAGGTGATGCACAACAGTATTGCCTCGCTATATATACATATACACACACACACACACACACACACACACACTATCTATTGGAGTAGCCGTGCTAGTCAAGTTATTCAGATGCCAAGATAAAAATACTGATGTAAGCAGTGATACCTTTTTATGGTGTATTAAATACATGCTCAAATGCAAGCTTTTGAGAGCTTCCACTCTTATGGTCAGAATACTATTGAATAAAATGGAATAACGCAGTGTTCAGGGAAGGATTTCTCTACCTAGAACAACTGCTTATCAACTGTCACAGCCATCAGAGAGAAGACATCCACAAATTCTGACCAGAACATTCTCTTCATAGCCTCTGCCAAGAGATGAGCACCTACGCCAACTGCCTCTATAAAATAATTAAAACTCATAGGGAAAACTAATCCCAGACATATCAGACTTCACAGGAGCCATAGCGGACTGTTTGTAGAGAACCAAAAGGAGAATGCAGATTTTCCAACATGATTATATAAAGGAAGTTCATCTCTGGCTTGACTAACTCGCATATTGGCATACACATCCCATGCTGTGCAAGGAAGTACTCACCATTCTCATGAGCACATGCAGTATGTGGAGCTGGCGTCAGGGATGGCTGGACAAATGGCAAAATAATTGAAGGGACACTATAGTCACCAGAACAACTACAGCTTATTGAATTTGTTCTGGTGAGTAGAATCATTACCTTCAGGCTTTTTGCTGTAAACACTGTATTTTCAGAGAAAATGCAGTGTTTACATTACAGCCTAGTGATAACTTCACTGGCCACTCTCCAAATGGCTGTTCTAGATCCTTCCCGGGTCATGGCTGCCTAAAATGCATCCAAACATTCAGTATCTCCTCCCTCTGCATGCAGACACTGAACTTTCCTCAGAGATTCATTGATTCAATTCATCTCTATGAGGAGATGCTGATTGGCCAGGGCTGTGTTTGAATCATGCTGGCTCTGCCCCCGATCTGCCGCTTTGTCAGTCTCAGCCAATCCTATGGGGAAGCATTGTGATTGGATCAGGCTACCACTTCTGATGATGTCAGCAGACTGCTTGTTTTTCTGAGTCTAAAAGCATGCAGAGTTACAGCTTCTGGCTTGAATAGAGTAAGATTTTGCTATATTTATGGAGGCATGAGGGGCTAGATGGTGGTGTTAACACTATAGGGTCAGGAATACATGTTTGTGTTCCTGACCATATAGTGATCTTTTAAGATAATAGTAACTCACCAATTGGGAGATAGACCCTGGAGCTCTTTCAGACACAGTGATAAGAGCTACAGAAGTGTAAAATGTGACTTCAAATTAGTAGAAAGAGTGCTGTACACAGTGGCAATTTTATATGTAAAAATGTATGTTCAAAACAGTGTGTGTGTAATGATGACTGATAGTGGTGTCTCAAGTAAAGAAACATTTAACTAGAGGGCTACAATCTGAGAGTTAAGCGTGTAAAGAAATTACAAATAAATTGGGACAACATAATTTATTTACATCAAATTTCCAACCGTGACATATATACCCCAAACCCATGCCACGACTACCCCTGAGATATGCATACCATGAATTGAGAAACAGATGTTTGCGTAATAGCCAATTCCTTGGAACCAGAACACCGTATAGCAAGCTTAGGCAGATTTTTAATTCTTACCTGCCTGTTATCACCCTCATGAATCAGGCATTTCTCAGAAACTCTGTTGAGTTCCAGGTTTTGTTTTAATGCTTTCACTGCGTGGGGATTCCACTCACAAGCGTGGACAAAAGAGGCACCAGCGTGGACCAGGTACGGCACTGTGAAGTATCCAATACCTGAGGCAAAAGCATAATAAAATATTATACATCAATGTTTTTATTTCCTACCACAGGTATACACAAAATTATGACAAACTAAAAACTATATCCAAGTTATTTTACTGTGTCACTCACAGTAAAACATGCTTTTGTCTAAGGCAAAGGAAAGGTTTTGTTACCGTAAGAACAATAAGGATGTGGAATTCTCTACCTGAAGAAGTGGTTTTATCAGAATCCATACAGATGTTTAAACAGCAATTAGATGCATACTTGCAAGAAACAGAATATTCAATAATATAATTTAACTGTAGGGTAATAGCTTCTTGATCCAAGGACAAATCTGACTGCCATTCTAGGCTCAAGAGGGAATTTGTTTCCTAGTTTGTTGCAAAATTAGAAATGTGAGAAAGGCTGCATTTGATGGGCACATGCCTCTTTTCAGCCTATGTAACTATTAAAGTTTCCTTTCCATTGTTCTTGTTTGTTGATATCACTTTCCAATGTTAAGAAAAATCAATAATTAAAGGACCACTCCACAGTTAAAAGAAAACACTGAAAAAAAACAAAAAAACAACCCCACACTTTATTAGATACACCCCCAATGAATGTATGCAAGCATGCATGCATATTTCCATGTATGTATTCATTGGGAGTATAGTCTAAAAGAGATTACAAAAGCTGCAGTTATTATGACTACAGCCTTTGTAAGCCCTCCCTTTTTCCCCAGGAAAAGACTTTCAGTCTCCTCACAGGGAAATAACCAATGAGAATGAGAAGTCTCTGACTTGGTCCCCATGTGCTGCTGCGTCCACACGTACTGGCTCGGGGAGAGGGGGTGGAAGAACACTATGGGACCGGGGAGGGGGATGGAAGAACACTATGAGACAGGGAGGAGAGGGATGAGCACACTATGAGACAGAGGATAGAGAGGTGGTAAGAGAAGCTATGGGGCGGGGGGTGGAAGAACACTATGGGAGCAGGGGATGGAATTTGGAAGAACGCACACTATGAGACAGGGGATGGGGGTGGAAAGAACACTATGAGACAGGGGATGGGGGTGGAAGAACACTATGGGGAACAGGGGATGGGGGTGGAAAGAACACTATGAGACAGGGGATGGTGGGTGAAGAACACTATGAGACAGGGGGATGGTGGGTGAAAAGAGAACACAGACAGGGGATGGTGGGTGAAAGAACACAGACAGGGATGGTGGAGTGAAGAGCACAGACAGGGATGAGTGGAGTGAAAAAGAGAACACAGACAGGGGAGATGGTGGGTGAAGAACACAGACAGGGGATGGTGGTGAAAAAAGAACACAGACAGGGATGAGTGGTGAAAAGACACAGACAGAAGTGGTGGGTGAAAAAGAACACACGGGCAGGGGATGGTGGGTGAAAAAGAACACAGGCAGATGGTGGGTGAAAGAACACAGACAGGGGATGGTGGGTGAAAGAACACAGACGGGATGGTGGGCGAAAGAACACAGACAGGGGATGGTGGGTGAAAGAACACAGACAGGGGATGGTGGGTGAAAGAACACAGACAGGGGATGGTGGGTGAAAGAACACAGACAGGGGATGGTGGGTGAAAGAACACAGACAGGGGATGGTGGGTGAAAGAACACTGAGACAGGGGATGGTGGGTAAAAGAACACTGAGACAGGGGATGGTGGGTAAAAGAACACTATGGTATAGGGGAGGGGGTAAGAACACTACGGGACAGGGGAGGGGAAAGAACACCTATGGGGAGGGGGATAGAACACTATGGGGAGGGATAGAACACTATGGGGGAGGGGGAATAGAACACTAACAAAGAGGGAGGGGAGAGAGGAACATTAAGGGGGGGGGGCACTAAGGTACAGGGGAAGGAAGGGAAAAACCATTAAAAAACAAGGGAGAGGAACATTAAGGGGAATGAGGGGGACTAAGAGACAGGTAAGGGCGAGAAGAGGAACACTAACGAACATGGAGGGGAGGAGAGAGGAACACTAAGGGACATGGAGGAAAGAGTGGCACACAGGGGGGCCTCAGTGGGGAAAAAGACACATAGATGGGCCTGGGGTGTAAAAAGACACATAGATGGGCCTGGGGTGAGAATGTACACAGAGGGGCTGGGGATGAAATCGTCTTCGCCTGTGTACCCAAATATCCTTGCACCGGCCCTGACCTCAGGGGAGCTGACGGAAGTAGGAAGAAATCCTCCCTGGTTGTTTGGAACTCCCCCCTGGCTGTCAATCATAGTTTACTTAGAAAAGTGCTGATTACTCACAGAAATCAGCACTTTTATAAACTGGGGTTAAACTAGGATACGCCTCATCCATAAAGCACTTCAGCAAGGTGAAGAGCTTTTGGGGTGTAGAGTGGTCCTTTAATGCATAAATACACAAAGATACACTATAAGGGAACAGAAGACACCTCACCTGCATAAAGATCCACCACTATCTCCCCAGAACAACAGAAGGATGCCACTCTCTGCTTCTCTGATATGTTCCCTGCTGAGAACATGCATTTGGTGACATCAAAAGTGTATCTGTAGATGGAGATTTAACTAATTAATGGGAATACAATACAGACATAATTCACTTCTTCATGCAATTCATTACAGGTCTGACCTGATGCCATTGTCAATGTGCTCCACCCATCCACTATCCCCAAGCAGCAGAGTGACGGTAGGGGATCTCACACCATCATCCTGAATGCAGCCTTCCTTCGCTAAGCGTCTAACTCCAAGCGAAGATGCCACATTTATCCAAAGCTCAGGACCTTTAAACAATTATAGATAAAAATAAATAAATAAAATGGCAAGTTTGTTCATTTTTTGTTTTTCTTACCATAAGCATGAATTACTACACTGAGCTTAAGCTCCTCTTTCTTCCAGGACATGATGGGACATTTGGGTAGCAGAAGATGTACGCAGAAACCTAGTCCAGGTAAATTACTGCTCCCAAGTGACCTAATGTACTCTGTAGCTCGTGGTTTTAAATGGAAGAGGTAGATTACTGTGCTTTCTATTTTGACCCAGACTAGCCGTGCTTATAGACATATATCACTGTAATAGTAAGCACAAACCTTGTTGTTTCCACAAAGGATCATTGAAGCAGTTCTCATTGAAAACAATTAAATCCCCATGCTTCTGCCATGAATGGGGTAAGTCACGTTCAAGGTCACGTGGCCAAGCCACACCGTGGCTTTCTAAAAGCTCACAAAGATCTATACGCAACTTCTGGGCTGGAGACTGAATCCGGGCACGCTTGGACAGCACAGGATTCTGAAAAGCCAATGCCAAGACCAATTACTTAATATACCAAAAAGACAAGACTAACTTAATTGTAAATAAGACACACAATTTCATCATATACAGAAAAACAATAATTTGCCATAATACTTTTGGATTATTGAGTCCGTTCAAACAATTGCAAAGTCAGTTGATCCACCCATTACAAGAATTTAATGACAATGTCCAATATGAAGCTTTAATAGATTTCAGAAATCCTGTCAACCTATAAAATACTGATGTCTACCATGTTTACCCTTTAAATGAACATTGCAAGCACCAAACCACTATAACACTGTAGTTATGGTGCTCAGACTATCCAAGCGCACCCTCCCTGAATGGTTTGACAAACAACCTGGATCCCCCAGGGATCCACACAGCACCTGACTTCTCCTGTAGGAGAAACCAGATGTCTCCCCTGAGCAAAGCAAAATCTGGTACAGAGCCACACTCCTGGGCTGAGATTACTCAACTGACACTCTCAGCCAATGAGAGTGTCTCTGCACAGCCATCACTAGCTTAGTGCAGCAAACTGGATTCTCTTGCAAGGAGAATATGGAAAGCTGACTGTGGCAACAGGCTCTCGGCAGGACCCAGGTAAGTTGTCCAAACGTTCTTAAAAGGTTTGAGAAATTACTCTGGGATGGTGCCAGAACACATAGAATCATAAGCATTACAGGGAGCTGTAGTGATCATGGTGCTTGGAACATACACACAGTGTAGTAGTTATCTTGCCTAAAAGTGCCCTGGCACTGTCCCCCAGTTTAATATTAATCTTTTTAGGAGTAAACTAAAGTTTATAATTGCAGAATGTGCACTTCTACATTATAAATGTTAAATTAATTCAACCTGGACATCATTAATAGCCTGGCAGTGCTGGGATACACAATACTTGAACTTTAAGAGAATTAATGCTTTCCAAGTTGGATACATTTGACAACTTTAATAGGGAAGTATATATTTCTAGGAGGCAGAGTCTGAACACCAGGACTAATTTCAGTTTATGTGAAAATTCTCCTAAACAGCTTGGCATTAAACTGGTCACACCAATAGGACACTAGAGTCTAGACGATATAAATCATTGCACCATCTTTACAGGATACAATTTTTAGCTTTCAGTTACCGGTTTAGACAGTCAAGTGCTTGCTAAAAACAATCATTTTAAAGCAGGTTTTTCTTCCATTAAAAAGGTAAGAATGTTATGCAGAGGAGTTTTTCAAGTATAATTACAACCTCATTCTCACCATTATCAAAGTTTCCCTGCAGGAACTTCCAGGTGCAACAACTGTTGTTAGTTCTTCCAAGATACACGAACTGAGCTTTTCTTTGAGTACTGGTATGGCTACAGTGCAATCTGAGAGCTTCTGTGCCCGGTAACGTCCATCGAAGATGCCTATCTTCTCAAGATGCTCTCTTCAAAATGGAAAAAGAGTAAAATATCTATAATCTAATCTAAATATAAAAAAGTTCTATCTTGCTACTTGTTTAACTACCCAATTAAAGAAGAATTTGCACTTTTGAGCTATTGGAATATTGTAATTGTGTTTACAAATGTTTAACCTCTTTCTTTTCTGAGATTCTGCGCATTTGCGACCAAGGCTTTTTGGCACTTTTGCTATGTGTTCTTTTTACCATAATATAAAGAGACACTCTAAGCAAATTTTATAGGGCTGAAACATAGCAAATTCTGAAACTGAATTGTGCTCGTAATTTGTGAAATGCAACTGCTAAAAAAATAGATTGAAGTGATAGATACATGGTGCACTAGTAAAAAGGAAAATGTATTCATACTTACCATAATTTTCTTGTCCTGGTCATAAGCCATGGCAGCACAAAAATGGGTAGCTCCTCCCTATCCCTAATTAGACAGGAACCTAATTAAAACAGAAGGTTTAAGTAACCCCTCCTACTCTCAGTCTTGTTTCCAGCAACATCCCAGGGCGGGATCTTTGTGCTGCCATGGCCTATGACCAGGAAAAGAAAGTTACGGTAAGGAGAAATAAATAGTCCTTTTTGCTGGCCATATCCATGGCAGCACAACAATGGGTAATACCCCAGCAATAACCATGCGAGGGAAAGAAATACACAAGACTTCCAAATTATGAATGTTCAGTGCAAACACACACACACACACCTCATAAGGACATTGTAACTTAAAAACTGATTACCCACTATTGCCACATTACCAAAATGACCTACTCAAATGTACCAAAAAAATGGCTGAAAAAAGTATTGGTTGATGGCCAAGCAGGCATTTAATCTGTAAGTTCCAGGGGAAAATTGGCCACTGTTGCTCAAAGGGGAGAAATGGCTCTAGTGGAGAGCTAACAGACCTTCAGGTACTGTAACCACCAAAGGGCTTAATAGCCTGAACATAGCCAAGACTATCCCCTCTGCTCAGGGACGGACTGGGGAAAAATTTCGGCCTGGGCATTTTTTAATCACAGCGGGCCACAAAGAAGGGGCGGGTGGAGAGGGTGTGTTGTCATCATCAACGACAAGCACACCCCCTCTCAAAGTGAGCATGTTGGTTTAATGCTCTTCCAGGGCAGACCATGCGCAGAGCTCTGCTGAAGAGCTCTAGCATGAGAAATATGCCCTATATTTGTTCTGCACAGTGCAAGCACATTTGATAACATGCTTGCGCTGTTTTTCCTTGCAACTTTTCTCTGGTGTCTCTATATAAATGGGATACCAGGAGACAAAAGGGCCAGGAAAGAGTATTGTTAATGTGTTTGGAGCCTGCTTGTAGGATTGCGTGTGTGTAGAGTGAGCTGATTGTGGTGTAGAATTGTGTAATAAGGTTGGTTTTAGTCATGTTGTGTTTGTGGTGTAATGTAATGCATGTGTGGCAAGGGGCTGTAGTGAGGGTGTGTAAAGGGGATGCAGTATGTGTGTGTGTGTGTGTATACTTCCATATATATATATGGAAGTATTGTGTGTACATGTGAGGGGTGATGTGTGTGTGTGAGTGAAGGATGCAGTATGTGTGTGTGTGTGTGAGGGGTAAAGTGTATGTGTGAGAGGGGTGCAGTGTGTGATGGATGCTGTTGTGTGAGGGTGCTGTGTGTTTATGAGAGGGAGCTGTGTGTGTGTGTAATGTGTGGGGGAGCGGTGTGTGCGTGAGGGTGCAGTGTGTGATGGTGATGTGTGTGTGGCATTATATCCCCCCTCCCTTCTTACTTTTAGCCTGGGAGGGGGGACTGTGCTGCTAGTGGTGAGTGAACTCTACCCTGTGGGGCTAGAGTTCACTCTCGCGAGATCGGGGGCGTTTTCATGGCAACGCTCTGGAACTTGCGAGAGGAACCTGACGGAGCTGCAAGATAGAGCTCTGCCGGGGCCTCCTTTCCCTTACTCCCCAGCTGCATGTCTGTGCAAGTGTGACATGTCATGATTCCCTTTTATTCCAGAAGTTTGGTCCTTAAGGGGTTAAGTAGTTGTGGAGAGATAGTCTCATGGTTAAGAGGGGTGAGAAGTTCACAGAATCAATGGTTAACTGAGGGATCATATAAATACAGCCGACAGATATTTAGATATCTCCGTATCAAAGCCCCTTCACGAAAACAGATCAGAGAGTGCTGAGACATGTCTCTCTGAGGTATTGTGGCTAAGTCCTAGAGGAGTATTGGATTGAAGAACTTATGACCTCCTTGGTAGAAGGAATTTAAATGATTACCTAATTAGGAATAGACCAGGAAAAAAAGCATTCCAACTCTGTAAAGGTAGCCGAGGATATATGTTTTACCTCGAGGATATATGGTTTCAGAAGGGTGTTAATGCTGCACCTGAAAAACCCATAGATTTAAGTCATTCTTTTCAATATCGAAACCTTCAGAAAGAGGAGAGTAGCACTGTACCTGATGGAATAGGAACTCTTTGGGAGAGCCCTTTGAGGTACTGAAGAAGATACACAGAAGTGAAAACCATATTGACATTGGCTCTTGCAACCTATGCAGAAGAGAGGTGTTTAATGTTAGGATGTTCCTTTCATGAACATATCGATTTTGAAGAAATATCCCTCAACCCCAGTGGATGGTATTTATCATTTTCACTGTCCAATGAATTTCTATAGTAAAGTTAACGTCCTCCCTTGTGCCATCTTATTAGACCTATGGTAGAGGACATTAATGAAAACTTTCTTTGCTGAGGTAATATGACAGTCAACATCCTTTACTTGATAAGTCGTACTGCACTTTCTGAAGAGAGCTGTACTTTACCTTGGACTGTGTCAAACCATGTTCCCAGCTATACCCTGAACTGGGAAAGATCAAGGTGATTCCAGCAGACATTTATCTTTCACTATCAAGATGTAAAAATGAAAGTGTCCTTCCACTACAGTCTGAGAAATCTCCGGTTTTGTGGGGCAATGGGTACATGGGAATAAGAATCCTGCAAATCTGTAGAAATCATCCAATGTACTAGGAGTACTGCCTTTATGATGAAGAATGTTCAAGAATCCTGTAAACTTACGTAACTCTAGAATGGATCTCCATCCACCTGTTAGAAACAGAATCCTTGTTCTAGCTGCTTTTGAGATTTCTCACAATAGCTCCTTCTAATTAAGGGAAAGCCACGAAATTTACCATGCGTCTCTTTTTACCTTTTCGCTTCCTCTGGTAGAAGTAGTACCACTTTTCTAGGTTGAGATCTACCATACGGTCTTCCAGGTGCAAAATCCTGGAAGGATGGGAATGATAATCCTTGGATCTAAATGGTCTCCTGAATCTTAGGTCTTGCAGTAGACAAGTTTTCCTGCCCTCTGCCGTTCTCTTGATCCATTCATCTCAGAGGGGGCATACACGAACCAGGTACTGAGCCAAAGAGCCCGACTAGTAGACAAAGAGAAAGTCATATTTCGGGTATAACACAACCTATGGAAACTTCTTAGCTGAAGACTATTTCCGGCTTAATGACTTGTAATGTCAACAGACAAAAGGAAGATTATCTCTGATATGCTCCTCCAAATTATCCATATCAATCTTAGATCCTTAGAGATTGAGGTAAGAGTTCGCAGCCGGATGAAAGCACGTGTCAGCTGCTACATATACAATTAGAGAGGATCAAGACCATCTATGCTCCATGGAGTCTCAGAGAGATCCCGTATTGTTTACAGGCAGAGCTGAACATTTAGCCAGAGTTGAATTTTTAGTCAAATACTTCATCATCCACTTAGGAGCAGAGTTCCAGGTACAGACATCTGATATCTCAATGGATGAAGACGCAAGATACTCCCTTGTGTTGAAAACCTCACTCCGTGTATAACCATTCCTCCATAATAAGGATCCTAATGGTACCGGGAACTGAAAAAGATGTGATGTTCCTTCTGACATCTGAAAAGAAAGGCTAGAGGTAGAAGGCTCTTTCAGATATTAAAAGACATATGGACTCTGGAAATCAAATGGTCCACTTGAGATGATTCTGGAGGTACTGAAATAGGCTGAATATCCTCATCTAAAGATGATACTATATCTCTGAATGAATCCATCTCCAATGATTCCTCAAAGTATTCATTCTAGGAATTGTCCAGAGGATCTGCACTTTAACAGCTTCTATGATGGTCTTGAGATACCTCCAGCTTGATATTGCATAATACATGGCACAGGGATAGATGGGTCTGTAGCCACTTTCAGACAGTCTGTGCTGAGACTTTACTTTTACAAGGCTCTCTTATCATATGCCTAATAAAGGATCCTTTAGAGCAACTTCCCTTGTATGATCCGGATGATTTTCTTCCCATATAGCTATCATCGTAGGGAATTCAAAATATTAAATAGCACTCTTTTGTTTGGTAACAACAGAAAACATACAATGGCTTACCTACGTCATTTAGAGTGTGACTTTTTTTTCTGGGAGCAGAGGGATCTGAATCGATAACTGCATAAGATTCCTATTTATCCATGGCAAAGCAAATCTCTGCTAAAAAAGGGGGCACCCTCAGGGCACTATAGAGGTCCTTTAAATACTACTTAAATAATTATTCATTCATGACATATATTTATAAAATATATTACTGTGAAGTTATACAGCATACCTGTATCTCTGTGAAGAAGTGGAATCTGTGAGCAGAGCTGGAATACCAGGTCCTCTATTTTCTCCAGCCTCTATATTCATGATGTAACAAAACACACGGTTGCCCAGCTGCACTGTAGTTATAAAACACAAATAAATATGTATTTTTACAACTAGACTGTTAACCTAAGGAATGAGTGGTATAGTTTAAGAATAAAAAACAAAATATTAAATACTATATCAAATGCTCAAATATATTAGGCCCTGCTCTTTGGTTCTTTGAGTTTGTCAAACACCATGTTAAAGGGTCACTCTAGGCACCATAACAACTTTGTGCCAATGCAAACAGTGGCTTAGTATGCATAACCAAGACTGACATCACTCTTTAAATCTTGGAACCAGCTAAAATAAATTAGGAGTCAGCTTTATTTTCAACAACATATATACAATTCTTAAAGGGACACTACAGTCACTAAAACCACTACAGCTGAATACAGTTGTTCTGGTGTCTATAACTGGTCCCTGCAGACTTTTAATGTAAACACTGCCTTTTAAGGTCTGAAAATATAGCAGAGTTAGAAAAACAGGTCAGTCCCTGTTTTATTTCGATACAAAGTCAATTTAATTCACTGTATAATCTGGTTTAGCTATTTTATCCTAACTACAATGAAAAATTATATATATATATAATATACACAAGATCCAGCGCACTCACCTAAAACACCAACTTAAATGTTGACAGATTTTATTTGTTTTTGTTTGTTTTTAAACACTTAATCTAGGCAAAAATAATGGGGGTTTACTTACATTATATGATCATACATTGCATATATATATCTTTCAGGGTAATTTACTAAAGACAGAATAGTGGGGAATTTTACCTGACTTCAAACATGAATTTGAAATGTAAGGGTAAGGTAACTAAGGTGGGAGCACAGGTGACTTTGAGAATGTTTCCAGTTATGTATTTGATTCCCAGTGAAGTTAGTGAATGTCTTAGTTTGAGTTCCTGGCAGCTCCCATGTTAGTGGCTCCAGCTCGCTATAGTCTATGAGAGGCTCCCTGCAGACAGAGACAGACACACACACAGACTGCTGTCACTGTGAGCAGCCGGTATCCTGGCCGGCCATGCTCTGTACTATCCCTGGGCTGCCAGCACCGAGCATACTAACCGTGATGTGCACGGTCACACTGTCCTCCCCCAGCCCGGCTCCCAAACCGAGTCCCAGCAGCAGCTGCTGCGCCCTGACAGCCCTAATAACGTGTACCCACTCCCACAGAGCCAGGGCCGAGCCGCAGTCAGCGGGACACAGAGACACCGGAAGTAGCGCGCGGAACGTAATATGGACGGACCGGAAGTAGTTTAGGGAAGGCACGATTTTTGCAGCCTGTCCCGTTTGGTTGTGTGTTACAATGGCGGGTCTCGGAGTGCGGGACCCTGCGGTGGACAGATCGCTGCGCTCGGTGTTCGGTGGGTGTTTGACTGGAGGATAGCAGGCAGTGCGGGCTGTTTACACAATCAATAACACCAATAGCAGGGCATTAATCGGGGTCTGTGCTGTGCCCAGTGGGCAGTGTGGCTGCTGGGTACAGTCTGATGCAGGAGTAGCCAACATTCTGCACTCCAGTAATTCCGGACTACATCTCCCATGGTGCTTTGCAGCATTATGGCTGTAAGGACATTATGGGAGATGTAGTCCACAACATCTGGAGTGCCAATGGTTGCCCACCCCATTTGAAGGATAGATGCATTTTGAGTCAATTTAATGCTGAGTTTATGTTAACTTGGAATGTTTCCCATTTTATATGTGATGTCATTTTCACTCTTGTATCTGCAGTGGGCAACATACCTTATGAGGCCACAGAGGAACAACTAAAGGATATTTTCTCTGAAGTGGGACCTGTGGTCAGTTTTAGGTAAGAACCTTATTCACCTTATAACAGTTAAACTGACTGTTATAATAATGTCATCTAAATAATAAAGTTATGGTGTCGGGAGGCCCCTGGGTACACGTTCACCTTCAGGAATTAAACTATGAATCCCCCCTCCCCCCCAAGCTGTGGATTGGGTGCCACACATATACATAAAGTACCAGCAAAATGCCATGATCTATTTGTCTGCTGTAGGGCTAACAAGAAAACAAAACTGCCCTGTTCTGTGCCCAGTTCTTTATGCGATAAATTCAGACATTGGTGTATAACCCGGTATGTAATAATTATCATAAAGATTCCTTTTTATCCTATAAAGTTTGGGTAGATCAATAAGACCAGAAAGTGTGCAGGACGTTCGTCAGGGAACAAAACCTATTCCACAGTACTATATATTATGTATAAATAACTCTTATTTTCATGCTGTAAAGGTGTCTCTGCATTCACTCCACAATAATGACAGTAGCAAATTTAGACTGTCTGTGTCTGCAGTGAGCGTAGTAGCAGTATTTAGATTTCAGCTTGAATGTCTCGCTTTAGACATAAAACCAATTGCACATAAAGCACAAGTTGGCATGCAGTTGAATCATGTATATCTTTTGTTAGGCTGGTGTATGACAGAGAAACTGGAAAACCCAAAGGTTATGGCTTCTGTGAATATCAGGACCAGGAGACTGCTCTTAGTGCCATGCGCAATCTGAATGGCCGGGAATTTAGTGGAAGAGCTCTACGTGTGGACAATGCTGCCAGTGAGAAAAACAAAGAAGAACTCAAAAGTAAGTAAAGTATCTGACTTTTAGTCAGTTTTATCACAATTTCACATTGCTGTTAAATTGGTGTCTTGAGGTTGTCTTTTTAGAATGGTACTATACTTCCCTCTAGCGTCCAACTCCCTTGCGCTCACCCTGCACTGTAAGGGTTAAAAAAAATTACTGTACTTACCCGATTCCAGCACCGATTTCCCTCGGATTTGAGTCGGCACTCTGCCTCCTTTGATGTCACTCTGCAGTTTTAACCCTGCAATATAATTATTGCTGTTTTTCAGGAAACTGCAATAATTAAAACTGCAAGGTTAAGTGGACAGGGTCACTGCACCCAGGCCACTTCAATGAGCTGTAGTGGTCTGTGTGCCTATAGTGTCCCTTTAGTTTAAATTCATCCTTCCATTATTCAGAGAGAGAGTACTATTGAATTAGGTTATGACACAAGACATACTTTAAAACAATCAAAAGCTGGGGGCGGAGCATGACTGCTAAAGCATTTGATCACATGATCCTGGTGCTCCAGCATATACCAGCTAAAATCGGACTATATTGACATCCCAACTGCACTCATAGTACTTTGGGGGACCCCTCTCTGTACCCAAAACATCATGGGACGCAAAACTAAGCAGCCAAGACCGGACAAGCCCAGCACAGGGCTAACGATCGGAGATGGTGCAGCTAGGCCCAAGATGGCCAATCTCTCCAGAGGCTGCTCCAACTTTTCAGGTGATCTATTGCTTGGGGCCAAAGAGGAGAACCCACCTGCACCCGTGAAACCCCAGCGGGTGGTCCAGACAAATCTCTAGTGACAAAGTCGGTGCTCCACGAGATGCTGGCCGAACTCCAGAGAAATATCTCGACTGACATAGCGACAATCTGCAGGGACTTGCAGAGCCTCACAGGCCACCTCGGGATACTTGAAGGCACTTCAGCTGAGAGTGCTCAGCATATAGTGTCGCTCTCTTCAATGCCAAAATCAATGGCATGAACGTCGGTCTGTTGCCCAGGAGGATAACCGGTGCCAGAACAATCTAAAGGTGCAGGGGATATCGGAGGACGTCCCAGAGGATGAGCTGCCACGTTTTGTGAGATGCTTACTGGGGCCTTGATACAACTTCGACAGACCAAAGCAGTGATAATAGAAGGGCAATTTCAAATGCACATACCCCTCAAAGCTCTGAGTACAGCACCAAGGGACTTAGTGGTCCGCTTCAGAAACGGGTCCGACAAAACAGCAGTCCTAACCGCACTGAAAGGGAACTTGCCTTATCACTTTGAGAATATGCCTCTCACCTTTTTTATGCTGACCTCTCTGGGGGCACCGTAGCTTGGCGAAGCTCTCTCAGACCATTCACCGCACTCCTGCAGCAGATAAATATTCGTTATCAATGGTGGCTCTCCCTCACACTCGTCTTTCAAGGGGACCCTCCGCATTCTGTACACGGCTTCCAGGATGCTAACAAGCTGTTGCAAACTCTGGGACTGCCTCCAGATGCACTCACACAGAATAGACAGGCTGATGCCATCGCTCTTGTGACCCTGCGAGGATCTCGTCTTTTGTCCCACAACCGCATACCGCTGATCAGTACACAGCAGTCACCACTTGAACTCCAGCTGGGGATCAAGAGCAGTTTGTTACTGGGGATTCCCTGAACACCAATATATTATAACTTCTTGAGTTCTCATTACTTTTATGTTCTACAATACCCTCATTGTTGAGAATTTACTTAGATTCCTAATTCAACATATTCGTACACCGATAGATCTTATATCCGCTGCCTCCAGTTCTTTCACATATAGTCAGACGTAGAACCACAAGTTAGGCAATTGAGGCCAAATTTCTACTTACACGTCTAGTTAATCTGAGGCACTCTATCACAGCGGTTGAGTTTCTGCAATCATATACATAATCCCTAACTCATTGCTTAGTAAGAAGGAAGGCCCCAATGCATATCCAACATAACTTGAGCTTTAATCCAATATATCCGTAGCCTCTAATTTAGGGTAGACCTGTCCAGCTGTTATGTTGCCTCAATAAAATAAAGATTGACACAAAAAAAAGTATACAATGTTTACCTATTCTATTGCATTGTAGGTCTTGGAACTGGCGCACCCGTTATAGAGTCCCCTTATGGTGATCCGGTGTCTCCAGAGGATGCTCCTGAATCTATCAGCAGAGCTGTAGCCAGTCTACCTCCAGAACAGATGTTTGAACTTATGAAACAGATGAAGGTGAGTTGTTGCAATCCCACTATTTTGACAACCTTTCTAGCTTTTTTGTTTGGTTTAAGACTCCTATGTTAGTGCCATCTGTTAATACCTGTTCTGTGTCTCAACAGGATTCTGATCGTCTTTTGTTTGTTTTACTTACCCGTTGTACAGCATTGCAGAATGTGTTAATTCCTTTAAACCAATAAAATTATTTTTCCCCCTCCATGTATCGGGGTTCTTGTTTGTGCTTTTTTTTTGTAGTCTAAATTTTCTTCTTGTAACATTGTATTTTTTTGCATACCTAGCTTTGTGTCCAGAACAGTCCGCAGGAGGCTCGTAATATGTTATTGCAGAATCCACAGTTGGCCTATGCCCTGCTCCAAGCTCAAGTCGTAATGAGGATTGTGGACCCTGAAATTGCTGTGGTAAGGAATTATATTTCTCAACAAGTTAAGCATGGAGTTGTATGGTTATTTCAAGAGTGAGTGTCACACATCCCATTCATTTTAAAATGTTAATTTGTACCACCTAATCCAGTCATGACATCTTGCATTTTATTTTATTGAAAATAAAAAGTATCTTGGATACACTGTGGAAACTATATTAAGTAAACAACTAGCCCTTGTGTGTTGGAGGGAGAGCTGGTATTACTTGTGATGTTCAATGGAATCAGTTCTTAATAAGATTTATATTGTGCTCCTATTGGAATAGAAAGAGATTCTATCCTATGTTTGTTTGCTCTTTCTTGTTTGGATTGCAGTGATGCTGGGTGATATTACCATTTTATCCTTTAATTTGTGCCTGATATTGGGAAATCCTCTTTAAATAAATAAATCAGATGCAGCAAAAAATCACATCCTTTTTCCATTGTGCCTGGTGTCTATTTGCACTGCCTTTCCAATCACTTTAATTAGGGATGAACGGAATGAAAATTCTGTGCCAAAACCGAAAATTCTACTTTTTTTTTTTTTTCCCCCACAAATGATTTTAAAATTTTTTTATTTTTTTTTTTCTATAATTTTTTAATATTAGACTTTTTAATGAATTTAATGAATCTAAAATGAAATACTACAAGCCAATAAAAGACAAAACAGAACGTTTCAGGGATTTGTTTCATTCCAATAATTTAATACAATTCCTTATTATCCTGATACAACATAATCATGATTACAAAGTAGAGGACTGTCATTCAGACAGCTGATCAGGTAAATGGAAATCACTTGCTCTGACAGACTGAGTGGAAGCAGGGTCACTCCAGCAGCTTAACTGCTTAATGTCAAAGACAGAAATCATAAACTTAGCACAAATGGGGCTGAGTACAGAGATTGGGACATGATCATATAAACAAAAGCTCATGGCAAATCCAAACATTTGGGACTGTAATATACAGCTGGACTTTTTGCTTTGATTAAAGTAGTCAGTAACTGGTGCTCAAACAGGTGCAGCTTCTTTAAGGGTTGCCAGATCCCCCATCTTTTATTGCACACATCACTTATACAAACTGACAGGCAGCAACTGACAGTGTTGCCCTGTAGAATGTATAACTCAAGTCATAGTATGAAGAGTGCAGCATATGAATTCGTCATACTCCAGGGCATCACTTTTTATTGTAAGTAGAACAGCAGCAGCCTCAATACCTCACCCAGAATTTGTTCTAGAGAATACACATTTAGCAACCCCATCTTTTCTATGTAAAAAGATAAAGCCTTATTTTTTAAGGTGGATTTCTGAGAGTCAGGTATGATCGTGGCCAGTGTGCCACGCGGAGCGTTGCCATGGTAACTAGAGATGTCGCGAACTTCTTGCGAACTGTTGGCGGCGAACTCCGGTCAGCTGACACATCCCTGCCAATCTCCAGCAGACCCTCCCTCCCAGACCCTCCTACTTCCTGGACAGCATCCATGTTGACGCTGCCTTCAACATGGATGTTGTCCAGGAAGTAGGAGGGTCTGGGAGGGAGGGTCTGCTGGAGATTGGCCGGGATGTGTCAGCTGACCGGAGTTCGCCGCGAACAGTTCGCGGCAAACCGTTCGCGAGAAGTTCGCGGACGGTTCGCGACATCTCTAATGGTAACCTGTGGCAACGCTCTGACGGCCGCGGGACTCGCAAGATTTACACTGGGAGCTGCTGGAAAGGTAAGTCACAGCTTGCTGCCGGCCCCCCACTGCTCAGTACATGCCACTGGACCACCAGGGAATGCCATAGCCCCCCTCCCTGGCCAGGTAACAAGCAGGGCAAAAATAATCAAAATAAAACATATAAATATTAAAAATTAAAATAAAAAATGCCTTTCTCCCCTCCCCCACCCCCCCACCCATTTTACACAAATCACATCCCTTCAGAACACACACTACACACTGTGTATATAATGCAGAGTGTGTAGTGTGTGTGTGTGTGTATATAATGTGCTTGTAATGAGCCCGGCGGTCCTGTTATGTATTCTCGGCAATATCGGTATCTTTATTGGCCGATACTGATATTGCCAAAAATACAGAATATCGGCCGATAATATCGGTAAAACCTATAATCGGTCTATCCCTACTTGGCAGCCATGGAACTCACACACACTTCCCATAGAACGTTGCCCTGGAACGTCCCAGCGCTGTGTTCGGATCAGGCGCACGCAGGCTGCTCTCGGCCATGCTACAAGAAGTAACCGTCTAGAGGGGAGCGCAGTGTGCTTCCCTCCTGACGGTCAGCCTGACGTTGTGCCGGCCCTGGAAGGGGGGGTGTAATTTTCGGCAGATTTGATACATTTTCGGCCGAAATTTTGCTTATCCCTAACTTTTTAATACTAAACTAGTGTCCCTGGTTAACCACAGCCCAGCCCCTACCAGAAGTATGGCTAAGACAGAGATTACACACTTCCTTCTAGCTTTATACCAGCAATTGGCATTGGCACTTGAGTGAAAGTGGTCAGCTGACGCTCTCAGTCAAAGCATTGTTTTATTTTTTTCCCAATAAATAAGCCTTGGCTACAGACGTTTCATAAAACACAAATAACTGAATAAGCATTTCCAAGTTAAAGGGGTACTCTAAACAATGTAGCTACTGTATTAAACTGTTTCTGTTTGTTGCCTAGAATCCTTGGCTACAGTCCCCTGTTTTAATCACACAGTGTATTGTGTCAGAGTACAGTATTTTCTGTTCACTTGCGTCTGACAATTATTTTGATGTAATGTATTTCTACATTGTATATGGATCAATGGTGATTACCAACCCTTCTACACTTTAATCAATTAAACAAAGCAATATTTATGAAGCATATGGAATATAACTGTAGGTTGAGCTCTGAACATTCATTACTTTGCTTTTTGTCCTTAGAAAATTTTACACCGACCAACCATTGTCCCTTCTCTGATGCCCGGTGGCCAGCAGCCAGTTCAAGGTCCTAATGTGCCCCTGAACCAGCAGAATCCCCCTGGGGGCCAGATGCAGCCTGTGGTAAGACATTCACTCTGGAATATTCATTAAAATTGCCATATTATAACTACAGTTGTTTTTATAGTTATTTTTGCTTTCATGTTATCTTATTAGGGTTCGATTCATGTAAATGGAGCACCACCAATGATGCAGAATCTCCCAATGCAGGGCGGTGTTCCTGCACCCATGGTGAACCCCGGGCAAGGGCCTGTACTACAAGGAGGTAAGTGAATTACAGCATTGTTTATTGCAAGTGGCAAGTGGCCATATCTTGTTCATCCATCTCAAGTGGTCCAATAATTCTGAAGTTGGGTTTTTAAACCATTTTTAAATTTTGTCAAATTTTTAGGGATTACTATGTACTATGGTATTGCAAAAGCACCATTTTTTAAATGTATTTTTATTTTACTTGGTTTAACCACTGCGAACATGTGTGTCATGGTACACAAAAATTTGTCATACAGATGTTAACAGAAACCTCAGTATCTCCACTCAGCGGATGGTATCTCACTGGGCCAAAAGCTGATCTCTAGAGCACATTACAAGGTACTTGTACATGAAAAGATATTTTGTACAGCTCTGTTCAGCTCCCTTGTCTAAATCTCGCTGCCTTCGTGCCATGGTAACCCGTGGCAACACTCTGATGGCCGCGGGACTCGCGAGATTTAGACAAGGGAGCTGAACAGAGCTGCTGGGAAGGTAAGTAAGAGTGTGCTGCGGGCCCTTCAGGACCGCCGGGCCCATGACAACCTTCTCGGTTGTAATGCACTGATGGCAGCCCTGGTCTACATTATCGTCAATATCTGTATTTTTATAGGCCGATACCGATATTGCTGAAAACTCAGAATATCGGCCGATAATATCCGCTAGATCGATCCCTAGGTAGGGGCGTGTGTGTACTGTATTTTTTTTATTTAATACACTAAGTGACAGTACTTGCATTGAACTGTTTGTCTACCAAAATTCATCTTGAACTTGGTTGACTGGTTTAGTGAATAAACCTTGTGATCTGAAGTCATTTCATAGACTCAGCTGTGCATTACATTGCATGGACTTGCTTTAGAACAATCAATACATAAGATGTTTTTAAAAGGTTACAAAAATATTACCTGCGACTGTGGGACAGAGAGGATTATGAATAATGAAATTGGACCGCATAATTGAGGGGGATGGGGGAATAACTGAAACCAGTGAATTGCTAACTTCAAAAACGTAGATAAGAGTACATGGAAAGTACTATAACATAAGTAATATTGAGTTGCAATGATTCTAAATGAGATAGTTAACCAGTGAAAAATAGACAAAATGTTTTATATAGGTATATATCATAATTATATGTTTATAGGGTCAGTGTAATGAGTGAAAACATTATTTATTTTTAACTAACACAGGCCTCGTTTCCCAAATGATTCAATACTCTTATAACATTTTTTTACAAATTACTTATCTACAAAAAATCCTTCTGATAAATCATTTGCAAAGTTTTTCAAACCATACTGAATCATTTGGAAAACGTATTCAATTGCTGCAATAGTAGAAAATCTGTAAGAAACAATGGCACACAAATAATAATTATAATGCCAAGAAACATATGGATGTAATGTGGTACAAATTCTAACTTTGTCCCAAAATCTTGTTTATATAAAATGTTCTCAATTGCATTGTTATGGGCAAATGCAAATATTACAAGTTTTAGAATGAAATGTATTTCTTAAACTGTGTACTTTGTTTATAAGCGATATTGCAAACTGACTAGGTGTCAGAAATGGAACATATTGCTTTTCATACATGTTTCTTAAAGCAATAACCTCTAACCTACTTTCAGTGCATAATATGTTTACGCCAATTTGTCTTAGCTTAATACAAAACAAGTAATGCAAAAATATATTCAAGGCTATGCTACATCATCAGACTTTAGGAAGCCATCTTGTCCCAAGTCAGGGAATTTCCCATGATGTGCGCACTTACTATTTAGTTATGGCCTTGTATCTTTGCCAAGTTAAGAGGTCTTAAATTGAACATATAAATATGTGTACCTTTTAAATGTTAAGGGACAGAGGAGAGATTTGGAGACAGACACTGTCGCTCCATATTATAATGACTTAGAGATGTTGACATGTTCAAGAGGGTATGTTATTCTATTTTAATGATATGGCAAGCATATAGTTTTAATCTTATAAACTCTGCTTATATAAAAAATACTTGGAATACATACATATGCACAATAGTAGATGTGGCTGTATCAAGATGCTGTAAATATTTGATATGTGTTGACTTGATATGGTTTTTGTGATTTCTATTCCCAAAAAATACTGACCAACTTATACAGTTACTACAAAGATCCATTCTAGATCAATAGATTTGTGCCCTTTTAGGACAAATTCTCTTTCTACCATCTGTATGTTTAAGTTGAGATTTGTCAAGCCAGGTGACTGTTTACAATCTTAAATTATTCAGTTTTCGATCTTACAGCCATGTTTTCTGGCCTACTTCAACTCAGTATGAAGATAAAAAGGATATTGGGTGCACATCCGGAACATGCATTTTGCAGTAATGGTGTTGTCGTACATAATACAGATTATGGACCAGCGCACACATATAAATACAGTTTAAATTTCATAAGGCTACTTAAAATCACACATCTCGGCGAACATCAAAGCACTATCACTTTGTCTAGTTTTGACACTGCATTTTTTTTTAATTGTGCTTTTATCACATTTATTTTGCCTTGTGTATATATATTGACAATGCTCTTACAACAGATTATTAAAATGCACTTTAGCTTATTTAGCACAATTTTATTTATCTGCCACATTTGAATTGGTGTAGAACCCACCAATATTGGACTACTGTGAAGTAGAGGTGGGCTTAACACAATAAGGCCATATGGCGGAACTGACTCCCCATATTTGTTTACTGAGGTAGGTGATTTTAAGTAACCTTTTAAAATTTAAACTGTATTTTTATGTGTGTACTGTTCCTTAATCTGTATTATGGGTAATCCAGCGAAGTGAACTGGTAATGGCCTAAGCGGTCTATGTCACAGTTTTGCCCAAATAAGGCAGAGACCCCGAGGCATGTTACAGTTACACACCTAAGTTGCTTTGTTCCTAGTAGAGAGATCAAGGACAATACGACTCATCATTTTAATATCATGCACCTAACCCGAGAGTCGGGTCGTCCACAGGTTCTACTCTCTACAAACACGGAGAAGACATTTGTAGGGTTAACTGGATGCTTTTGCATTTAATTGGGCAGACTAGATGGGCCAAATGGTTCTTATCTGCCGTCACATTCTATGTTTCTCTGTTAACTCTCTGCAAAATGGGCCCTAGAGAGAACCGCTGCAAATGGGTACAGTCTATATTTGACACCGAAGGCAAAGGTAAGAATTAATGGGGGTCTTTAAGACCCTGCCAAAATCTCCAATAGTAACCGTCAGGGATGCCGTCTCTCAGCTGCTGTTTTTACTCACTCTAGAACCCTTTTTAAAAGCCATTTGTGGGAATAGGGACATCCGGGAGTTCAGACATACTGAAGTTGAATATAAAATATCCGCATATCCTGATGACTTACTCTTCTATATATAACAACTGTACCAAATATCTTAAAGGAGTTTAGCATTTATGGTGAACTAAGCAATTTCAAACTTAATCTAGATATCTGAGGCTCTAAACCTCTGTACCTATACAGGCTTAATTTTCTCTTAATGTTAACCAGATTCGAGGAGGAGATGAGGGCTTTGTCAATCCCACATTTCACATGGTTTAAATAAACTCTATCAAGATAAATTTGTTACCCAGAATACTCCATCTATTCCAGACCATTCCAATATCCATAACCCAGGCATTCTTCTCATTCCTCAACTCTGCATTAATCCGATATGTGTGGAAGGGGAGGAGACCAAGGCTCACCGTACCAATGTCCTAACATCATTCCAATAATATTATCATGTTGCTCACCTCTCCCTTATTGTGATGTTTTGTCATATCAAAACTTAGCATATCTTGCCGACACTGGAGCCATAGGTAGCAGGAGACTGATCTCTTCAACTGTTTGGTTAGCAGATGGAAAGGTCACTATAAAATCCTGGTAGCAGCATCATTTTTGTCTACCACTCATCCAATTTCAGACCCAGTGCATATGGCTAAAAGAGCTTTTAAATCTTGCGGAAAGACCCGGATATATTTATCCAGACAATCCATTCAGATGGTCATCTGTAACCCCTGCCTGTGCCAACTTAAGAGACCATACATACCTCTGGAGATCTACAGACAAAATCAGCTTAAATATGTTTACGCAACGGACAACTTTGCATAGGCCACTACTTCTGTTTTAAGAAGTCTGCTATCATGCTCAAACACGATATCGCAGCACTTCTTCCCTGTATCAAATGGTCCTAGCTGGAAACCAAGGCATTCCTCCTTTTTGGATCAGGAGTGGATGAAGATGCTGATACTTACACATGACAATTCTCAATGCTTGAAGTATCAAGAAATTGATACAGTCACCAGATAGTGAATGCTCCACTTACAGTGCGGTGGGCCTGGAGTGCAAAGAAAGGTAGTTTATACTTACCTAAACCTGTGCCTCATGGCCACTGCCATTTCTTTCTGCAAGGTATTCTTCAACTCCAGGGGCTTCATCTGTCAGAGGCCATCGTCCGTTCTACATACACTGATGAATATGGAGGATCCAGCAAGACTACCGGATCCTCCATAGCTTTTTTTCCCACTTAGCTGTCTCTAGTGGCAGCCTGTATGAGATTTTCAATGCTGAACCTGTGGCACATTGTGTGCAGTTTTGCAGTTCACTAATGTGTAAAGTCTAAAACTGGCCAATTTCTTAATTGAAACTGGGACTTCACATAAATCTGGCCAACCAATTTTGGCCGTATGTTGCCATACGCCAATAAATATATAAATATATACACTGTGGAAAACAAATTAACAGTAAACTTTTGGCAATGGTTGGTGATAAAATTGCCGTACGAAAAGTGCAATGCCCATCGCCGAATAGTGTCTAGTTGTAATTTTCTGTGGAGCTTTTGGAGTCCTTGAGCACCTAAAACCCTTGTACGAAAATATTGAAATAGCAATGCACCTTGTGTTAAGTGACCTGTAGTTAGACCAAAAAAAAAAAACCTTAGACGTGAATGTTTGTAAGTTGTTGTAATTGTATAGAAATTATCACTTGAGAATGAATTTTTTTTTTTTCTCTCTTCTCCTTTTTCTGCTTTATTCGTACTAAATGAGGAAATCTGACTGCAGAATTCTGTTTTTTATTGCTTACGTGAAGCAATGGAGCAAGAATGCTTGAATCTCACATGCACGGCAGGGATATATCTTAAAAGAAGTGCATCATAACCATAGCAAACGCAAGAAACATGTGTTTTACTTTTATGTCCTTTTTGGGATGTAATCGTCTATTACAGTAATAATTCAAGTGTTAATTCAGAGAGATTTTACTTACCATGCAAAAAATGGCTACTATTTTAACATTCGCTCCGGACTAAGTATCGTGACACTTATCAGTGAGGCTTGTAAGAATGTTGCTTTTATACAGGTTAAACTGAACTACAGAAGATGTGGAGCAGGTCGTATTGCTCTTCAGCTCTTTTAGAGTAGAACTAACGATACATACTGTAATGATTGCTTTCCTTTTTTTTTTTTTTCTTTAACTTTTTTAAGTTAAGTGTAACTTTTTAAAATCTCATAAAATGCCTAGAGTACTGTGAAACTTGTTTTAACGTTTGAGGTTATAAATGTGTGGTTTGCTGCTGAATTAATCCTTCATTCACATTTTTTCTTTTCATGCTGCCTATTCAAGGGAGTCTACAACACTCTCCTGTGCCCCCTCCAGTGCCTGCTCCTATAGAGAGAGTACCAGGTACCCCCCAATGCATGGAGACTCTATTTCACACTTTGAAGGCCCATGTCATGTGTATACAAATATATGCAATGTGTGCATGAATTAAGAACATTATGCTGTGGAAATGTTATAGTGCTTAACAGGGGGCCTTTTTATCAAGGTCTAATGTCTCTTTCCATCTCTGATGTTTTTATTACTAGAGTCTTCCATCTTGGTTTGTATATATCAAACCGAGTAAATATTAAAGGGGGCCTCTAAATACCACAATGCACTACATATCATATGGTGCAAGTTCCCTCTTACCCTCATATTTTCCATTGGAGGGTTCGTATTAACAGAGTAAGACTGGACAATAGCCACATAAGAGTTGTCTTAATTTAATACATTTTAGCTTGAATTAGTGTCTTGAGAATTATATATATATTACACAATCTTTTTGTATTTTATTAGATTGGTCCCATCTAATATTTCACACCTTTAAATAAGGTGACATGTAAATACCATGTGATATGAACAGCAATTTGTACTCCGTGAATGTGGACGAATATCTGGTGTGCCCTTGAGTATCATAAACTCTACAGCTTGTTGGTATGGTTTTGGTGCAGAGTCTTTAGACCAAATCTCCCTTTTTAGTGTCAAACTGATTTCACTTCTGCACTAGCCGTCAATCTTCTGATGGCAATTATAGACTCTGAGCACAGGGGGCTCAGTGACAGTAGTGGCTATGGTACTTAGTGTCCCTTAAGTCAAATTTCTGGTTGGCCTGGGCACATCAGATACTTAGAACCTATATTTTCCATAATTTTCAAATTACTTATGTGCTGATTAATCATTACTGAATATGTAGTGTCCATACATCTGTAGTGCCAGTGTTTTGCATTGTTTTGCAAGCAACATGGAAAATGCAAATTGAGTTACATGATCAAATGGTGCAAGCAATGTATAAACCGAACGCCATGAGTTCCATTAACTATTCCTTGTTCAAATACTTGCAGTAGTCAGAAATACCACAGATGGATTAAAATTTACAAATGGCCCACTATATAATGTTATAGGGTTACCATTGGTAGAACAAGAACATCCTATGCATCAGGCAACAACCAATTGACCACGATTTTCTGGCATTTCTCTACCCTCTCCAATAAAGACTCCCGTTATTGGGAAGGGTCTAAGATGTTTTGCTAACTTTATTTACCTGTTTTTTTGATCTTAACCCCTTCAGGACCAATCTTCTGGAATTAAATGGAATCATGACATGTCACACATGTCATGTGTCCTTAAGGGGTTAAACTGTAAAATTGATTTACCAATCTATGGCATTTTAACCGTTTGGGTCTCTGACAAAAAAAATATTACATGCCAACTAAGAATCTATTACGTAAATCCGTAGACACAATCTGCTGCGTATTTCTGTAATATTAGCTCATTATGACAACAATAAAATGTGAACCCAGTTATTACTTGTCTATAATTATATTGGCTTGTGTCCGGTTAACATGCATAATTCATGGAAAGTTTGCAAAATATAATGACTTGGTGCCATTCACTGCTGGATTCTGCAGCAAACTCCCAACATTAGGAAACTCTAGCCTTGCCATCATTTTGAATGGAAATGCTTAGCATGTCCCATGATGCTCTGCTCAGAGAGCTCATTGCTGATATCTACCTATTCATCAGTAAATGTGAATGGGACTGCTACTAAAGCTGATGTCCGCTCTAAAGGGGCCCCTAAACGACATGTGAACCTATAAAGCATGCATCTACTCAGCTGGTTAATACTATACTCCATGTGATATAACAGAATGCGAGAGTGGGCTTATAGCAAATAACACAAACTTGGGGCTTGCTTGCATCATACTCTTTAATTGCCTGTGGCGCTTGGAGTATCTTTAAAATATATTTTACTTGGGTAATCAAAAAATGCACAGCTGCCACCATTTAAAAATTGAGTATTTTTTTCATTGTACATCTTAGTGTTAACTCTAAGCTTTTGCTTTCATGTTCTACACTTGATTGCACCATTTGCTTTTATATCAAAAAGTGGCTATTCACCGCTTTAAAAGGGTAGCATCAAACAATAACTGAGGATTTGTTGTACAGGTGAGAATTGTTGTCGTTTTCTAGTATTAGACCCTGTAGTCAATCCACATTATTTAATTTAAACATTTTGACTACTGTTTGTTCTAGTATGTGGCAGGGCATTTCACCTGATGAGGTACCACTCTTTATTTACTCTTTAGGATTACAGGAGTTGGTCCCTAAGCAGTGATCCCTGTATAGACATGTGAAGCTTATTTTAAACTATAAAAGCAAAACAAAAAAATAGCACTTTTCTATCTGAAATCCAAACCAGTATTTAAGGTTTTATTTGTATTTGTCCTGCAAACTGGCATCTCCCAGGACACATTTTTTTCTAAGACATGTACATTTAGATTTTGAATAAATCTTCATCCAAATCTTACTAATTCCTCATCCATTTCAGTTCCGATTCCTGATCCCAGAGCACCAGTGCAGCGTGGACCCCCAGCACCTAACATTCCACCCAGAGGGCTTCTGGGAGATGGCCCCAATGACCCACGTGGGGGGACCTTACTCACAGTGACCAGTGATGAGCAGCCACCTGGGTAAGAGTAACCTTCTGTTGGACTGAAGTTATCTGCCCATTCATTGCTAAGTTAATGTAATGATTCCTTAACAAAGTCCTGTTTGGGAGATTTCCTCTTACCATCACCTCCATAAATTGGAGCTTTTACTGAGGTTAAGGTTGCGGTAGAGAAAAGTATAAAGCAATACATGGTATCACCATCAATTTAATGAACACTAAACTTAGTGGCAGAGACCACGTGACCACAATAGAATAGATGAAAGCAGACACGGACACTAGCGTATGTGGGTTAGGGGGAGTGGTGACCCCCAGGCAGTAAGCAAAAGTTCACCAGTCACGAAAATCAATGCACCTCTGAGACAGTAGCCCAGATCCGAGAATACCACCTTTCTAGCTTGACGAGGTTCATTGTGCTAACTTGTAATACACACACTTAGCATTAAAGATGCACACTAAGACATACCTGGTAACCCGGATCTCCAGACCACGAAACAAGACAAATTACACACACAGACTTAGAACATCAACCCATCTCGACCCAGGAGGAACTTATAGAACAGGTAGAATATCACTACCCAAGGTCTAGAATATTATTAAAACGGACTGTGATAGGTGGGAGACACAACCTAGGCAACATATGCTTTCACAATGACTCCCTGAGGTTTGCGAGATTCACGAGACTAACCTGAACTAGAGCCTATGGCCTACTATGCTTGCATACATTTTGAAACCTTCCTAATGTAGAAACGGTATAAGTTTGTTTATTGAAATCATTAAGGTTAAAGAAACTTGCGAGACTTACTGTTCAGTTTTTATATATAAAGTAAACGTAAAAATCACACTCAAAAAAAGGCGATACCACAAGGGACCTGTGTGTCCATCAATATGGTGGACATGCGAGCCCAGATAACTGTATTTGTCACCTGATACCAGTTCTTGGATACACCACACGATTGTTTGTGAACTTCCTATTTCTTCAGAGATCTGCGAATCTCGAGGTTGTGTATATATAAGCATGAAAAAAATAAAAAATCAGATTTACAAGAAAAGTATAAAGCAGAAAAAAATTTTAAACCCTTAGGTTTAGCATATGGGAATAATATAGCACAACTGATAGCTATATAGTTCTTAGTTTTTATTCATATATTTATTTTTTTATTTAATTTCTTTTTGGGTGGGGGATGAAAATCAACTTGGATGATCCACAGGGTAAGAATTTTTTTCAATAGTGTTGTTTCTCCCTATTTATTTGAATCCTATTTTATACATTAAAGATCTTAAAATATCTTGCCTGAATGAGATTGACACACAGTGTTCTGTTATGAGTAATGCCTGACCAAATGTTTTCATATTCTGTAATTTACTCTTTCA